CCCATGGAAAGGCGACGGGACGCCCAGAGTGCTGGATGCTGCCCTGGTGCCACTGCAGGGCAGGGGTGACACCGTGCGGCAGGGAAAGGAACCGGCTCAACGGGGCGACGTCGGCAGCTGGCAGCAAATGCCTCCGCGGGAATACAGAAACTGGCTGGGAATGTGTCTGAGAAAGCACTCGCCTTTGTGCTGGCCAAGGCAGCCCGCGTCCCCCATTCTGAGAGACCCTAAACGCCCCAGTTCCATTCCCTCATTTCTCTGGCTGTGTTTTTAGCCATGCTAGTGGCCTTAGTGTAACGCTGTGAAGTCTGTGCTGGCAGGAGTTCATCTCCCACCTTGGCGACCCATTGGTTTTTATCGGCCAGGTGGGGGGAGCGGGGAGAAGGGCATCCTCAGGGCTGCTGCGCCATCCTGCTGCCGCAGGGAAAAGCAGGAAGAGAACCACCCGCTGAGCACGGCTGTGAAAGAAACCCCCTGGGCCTGGGCCTAGCCCGGCTCCCCGGGAAGAGTGGGCAGGCAGGGTGAGCCATGATGGGAACACAGATCTGCAGCAGCTGAGATTGGACCCCTGGAGAACAGTGCGCACCTCGACACACAGCCTTTCCGAGAAGGTCACAATCACTTGTGCTCATGGCATGGCCCAGGGCACTTTCCGCACAGGGCAGGGCTGGAGCTTTGTCCTGGGTTTGTAGCCTGCCGGGGCCCCTAGAACGGCTGCAACACAAACAAGTAATAATTAATCCTAGGCCCAGCGTCCTGGGCGGTTCTGCTCCGGAAGGCAGATCCGTGCTGGGGCACAGAACGCAGACGGCCCAGCCCAGGGGGAGGCGGCGGCTTTAGGTCACCTGGTTTTCTGCAAAGGCCACTTCAGCCCCTGGCACATCTAACAGCCACCTCCCTACTGCTGCCTAAGGGCTGTGGTACCCCCAGGGTCCCTGCAGGGCTGAGTGCTGTGGGCACCCTCCGCCCCCAGCTGCCCCCTATGCAGGGATCGGGGGGCAGGGGGAGATAGAATTACTAAAGTTACATCGACCCTGCACAGCTCCTGCCCCAGGGGAATAGAAATCTCCCCGTCCCGTCTTCTTTGCAGCCTCTATGTGCTGCCAGTGCAGCACATAGAGGATGGGGCCAGAAACAGCCCCACTTTCTTATCCCCCTTGCAGCTTCCATAGGAAGCAACATTCATCCCTTCCTACTTAAAATGTTGTACAGTGTTGCTGTGCATTGCTGAAGGGCTGCCGTGTTCCACCCCAGAGGTGGCTGTATTTCTTTAGTGGGTGCCGCGGTCTCTATATATTGCTTCCACCTGCTGGTCCTATGTCCAATAGCAATCATGACCATAGACTGTGAACGGCCCCAGGAGAACTGCCTACTAAATCCATTCACTAATGTTCTTTCCTTAGCCACACAAACCCATTGCTGCCATTAAATTATCCCAAGCCGCAGTGAGCGAAGAAGTCTCTGGCCCCAGTGTGGTGAAAGCTTTGCCACAGCAAACAAGAAACCTGCCCTGTGGCATTCTTGAAATCAGCAAAATAAGGTCAAGACGGCACCAACCACGCGGGACGCACAGCATCAGATTGCAGATGGTTTTACCGGTGAGCGATGGGGGTTGACAGCAGCTTCTGCTGCCAGCCACACGCTCAGCCTCTAGCAGAGGAAGGAAACGCAGCCAAAGGAAAACAGGAGTCTCATGTTTGAATGGGTAGAAAATCTGCCCGAGGCCTGCCGTGCTCTAACATTTGGGGTTGGGCGGGGCCTGCACTCTCCCAAGCACTACACAGGCTACAGGCCTGAATCATTTACCAACAATACTGCTGGACCGCAGCCCCGTTCTAACCAATCCAAAGCAGGGAACTACTGCTCTGTGTCTAAATCTCTGCCCACCCACCCCCATCTCCTAGCGTTACTGGCACTAGGGTTTGAGTGGGAGGAGACCCAAAGATCTGTGGAGTCCAGTTTCCAGGGACTGCGTCCCCTATCTGCATTGTTACACAACGTGAGCCTTGTTTACCAGGCCAGCCCAATGGCGACAGTCCTGACTAGGTGAAGCCCTGGCATTGCTGTTGTACAGGACATGTCACTCTGGGGGGAAGAGGGGCTGATGGATTTGTATTCACATGGAGCGAAGCCATGTTTGAATGGTGTAACCGTGAGGACAATAGAATTACAAGGCTACCCAGCAAGGCAGCAGCGAGCTGAAGCCACTGTTTACAAGATCTCCTGCAAAACAACAATCACCCGTTCCCAGAATCCAAGCAGAACACTGATATGATTGAAACGAACAAAAAATGCTTCCACAATGCAACTTCCTGGCACTGTTCTGGGCAGGGAGAGGTTATTTTAAGCACTGCCATGCTCTGGAGGCCCAAGGAGAGGGCCGGAGTGCGAAAGACCCCACTTTCTGAGATGGTCTGGAGAGGAGCAGAACCGTGGGCCATGGCCACTCTGGGGATGGCTGTCCCAGCGAAGCAGCTCGGGCGCCGTGTAAGTGCACAGTGACATTGGGACACTGTTGAGGGAGCTACTCGGGAGATCGCTGCCTTTCCTTTTCATTGGCAGCTCAGTGTCAGGGCCCAGCGCCAGAGCTTTGCAGAGATTTGGTGACAGGCGCTGACTGGGAACTAAGGCCAGCTCTCCAGTTTCACTGCCCATTACAGCGCCTCACTCAGCCGACTGCCTCACTTTGCGTAGAGTCCAAATGTCTTGTGACTCCTCCCAAAACAATCCCCATTCGGTCTTTAGAACACTCCCGGTGCAGGAGTCTACAGGCCATGCCCCTGAACCAACGGGCACCCCAGAATCCCATCCCTGAATATCCCCAGAGCTTTGGTAGAGTTTAATCTGGTCCAGCTCACAGATTTGCCTCAGGCCTGCCCCCTTGGGCTGGGAGTAGCATCTGCTGCCTTGGGAAAGCTTCACAAAACAACCTATTCAATTCCTGCTGCTGTAAAAAATGAAATAAAATTTAAAAAATCACTAGACCCCCTGACCCTCAATTCCTGTGAAACAGGGGAATCAGCATGGCTCCCCAGACAGATCCAGGTGTTGTAACTGCTTACTGACTTCAGCCGATTCATACCCAGGATGAATTTGACCCAAATCCAGCACAGTCCTCTGGGGATGACACCCCCACTTCCCCTCACCCCTGTACTCCAAACAAGTCATTGTGTGGAGGGGGGAATCCTTCTGCACTGAATAATTTTTAAGTAATTGAGTGCGATACTTCCTGTAGGTCCCACATAAACAAATCTGTGGCCACATGCAGCAATGCCAGGGGATGCACATAAACTGCTTGGTTTATGTTTGGCCCAGAGGAAGGGACAGGAGAGCTATTTTAAAGAAAAAAGCCTTGATTTGCATGAAGACCAGACTCTGCAATGTGTGTGGGATGGAAGGGGGGGTTGGAAGGTGGGACAGGGCGGGAGGGTTGTGGGGGCCAACAAAGATCCTGTCCACTTCCCCCTTCAGAGAACGAGAGTTGGAGCAGCCTGCCGAAGAGCAGGCTGGTTGCAGCTCCTCTGTGGCTCTTTCGGGTAATGTTGGTTGCTAACTTGGCTCCTGAACCACTGAGGTGTGAGTGTCACTGATCTGGAGCCTGCAGAACCACATCTGGGTCAGCAGCAGCTGGGGACTTGTGGGGGAGGTACCCACCCCCGGCTGGCGTCGGGTGGCAGCAAATTGCACTGTCACGCGGCAGCTGGGCAGGCCCACGCCCGACTCTGCTCTATGCAAGCACAGTAATAGGGGCAGCTGGTCAAAGCCCAGGCGATGTCCCCCGTCCTCCTCGGGCAGCTCAACCACTGCCCTCTGCCATCTGGCTCAGGAAGCAGGAAGGCAACTCAGCAGGGCGTGGTTTCCGGGCCTGGCCAGAGGGCCCGTTGGGGCTCCATGGAGATGCTGCTGGCCGAGGAGTCCCCTGGCCCTGGTGACCTGCCCAGGGCCCACCTGACAGCGCTGCTTTTCCTCCCAAAGGCTGAGGAGAGATTGTCTTGCGGATAATCCCACTGTGTTACATTTTCCCATTACACTTTGGGCTTCCCCGGGCGCTGGCTCTGCTGGTCGTTGCCTGCCACGGCCCTGGCGGTGAGGAGTCCAATCCTCAGCCCACAGGAGACAGGCTGGTGTGTTTCCTCACCTCCAGTGCGCTCCAGCTACTCCGGCCCTGCTCCTGCTGGCATCTGCGCTGCGGCGCCAGCCACATGCCCTGGCGGGCGCTCGAGGCAGGGAAAGAGCCTGGGAAGCAAGAGCGGTGCCGAGACACTGGGCAGGGCAGGACCCCCAGGAGAGCTGGGCAGCAGTGCCCCTCCCCCACCCCTGCTATGGCAGGAAATTCCCCCAGTCTGGAGGCCCAGGCTGTGGGTGCGGGCACCAGTTAGTGTCCCTGGGGTGCAGGCAGCTCTCCGTTAGGGACTGGGCCGAGACCCATTCAACCCATTTCCACCAGGCCAGCACACAGCCACCAGGAGGGGTGGCTGGGGGGGATCTGAACCGGGGAGCTGGGAGTTCCCGTCTCCCAGTGCCCGGGCTCGGAGCCGCCCTGTGCCCCGGGCAGAGGCTTCTAAGGAGACCCACTGCTGAGCCTGCAGCTCCTCGCCCAGACAACAGTTGAATTGGGGCAGCTTTGTCTCCCCCTCTCTTGCCTTCCCTGTGCCCAGCGCCAGGTCTGAGCATCCTTGTGCCCCTGGGAATGTGCGGGAAGGGGGGGGGGGACCTGCCGCAGGCCAGTGACTCGGGATCCTGCTCTGTGCACAGACTGGTGGAAGCCAGATGCCGCAGGGTTTATTCCTCCCAGCCCAGGGCGTCACACCAGGCCCCCTGCACCAGTTACACCTTTTGGTTTGGCCCCTTATTAAGGGCTTCAGTGGTGTGAGGGGCCTGCAGGGTCCCTCTCTGCTGGGCAAATTTCAGCCCCACTGTCTATTCCATTCGCTCGGGTTGCCTCTTGGAACGTACCTGCAGGCCCCACCCTGGAGTGACCAGCCAAGCAAACTACCTACCTCCAGCTCCTTAAAGAAGATGCAGCTCCGTGCCCACTCCACAATGGAGAAGAGGGTCTGGTCTGCCATCTTGCACATGAGGCCAAAGGTGCTGAGTTTCTCATGCCGGCCTTTGCCCTGCTCCTGTTGCAGACAAGCCAGTATCCGCACCTTGACCTGGGGCTCGTCGGGCTCCAGCTGCAGCAGCTTGAGAATGACCTCAGGGATGTCGGGTGGGGCGCTGTTGGGATAGGCATCTGGATACATGTAGCTGGCCACAGACTCGTGGGAATTTGTGTAGTGGTCGGGGTACTCTGACTTGATGGTGCGGTTGGGAAAGGAGGGGTAATGGTAGCTGGACAGCGCCCCGTGGCTAGGCACAGTCATTCCCAAGGACGGCGTCCCATACGGACTTCTGTCATAGTCGACTGGTGTCATAGTGGCCGGGTTGGGAGGCAGGCTCTTGGACACCGAGTGGATGCCGTGGATGGTGGAGGACAGGTTGTAGTCAGTTTGCACTGGCGACACGATCTGAGGCACAGTCTCCAGCTTAAAGCCGTTGGCACGTATCAGAGCTTTCTTCTGCTGTTTTAAGGCACGATCTCGCTTGTACATGGGGCCGAATTTATTTCTTCCTCCTCGCATCCGGTCCGCTCGCACAGCTGTGGGGCAGAGAGAAAGAACGGCCTTTGGAATTCAACTGAGCCCAAGGGAGCCTTATCTTCCCAAAAGATCATGGCAAATAACCCTGAGAGCTCTGTCCAGATAGACTGGGGGGAAGGGGATGGTGAGGAGGAGGAGGGGAAAAGGCCGGATAGTGGTGAAACAAAGCATCTTGTCCTGCAGCCGTTCCATCATGGGAGCGATGGATGGCTGCATTGGGACACAGGGGTCCTGGTGCAGAGTCTCTCCTGGGGACTGTTATGCTGCCTCTGAGCAGCCAGTAGGGGGTGCTGTCCTAGTGAGGCGGCATCACCCCCTCGCCCTGGAACACTAAGAACAGCCTGAGAACACGCCCAGTTCCTGAGGCCCCATCCTCCATGACCGAGCTGTTTCTTTCCCGGGGTCTAGATAAGTGTCGCAGACCTGCCCCCCAGCAGCAAGGCCATCTTCAGCCACTCCCTGCACTGCCACTCACAAGCAAATCAAATCAAAGAGTTTCCATTTGCAGAAAACTATATCTCAGCAGCGTTGGCTAAGTCTCACTATTTTATCACAAGTCTTGCAATATTGATGCTTTTCTTAAAGCCCAAGATCCTGGAGTCAGGTGAATACATGAGAATCTCATCTTTCATGTTAAAAAAAAAAGGGAAAACAAATTAAGTTTCTAGTGCTCATTCTTGCAGAGAAATGCTTGAAAATGTGAAGTCAGGAGGCAAATAAAAACAACCCCAAGTTATTGTTTTTTAAAGTCTCAAGATTTTTAAACATAACCTCACAATTTGCTGGATCTTGACTCGTGATTTTTGAATGACTGGGAGTTGCAACAGTGTCTCGGTGAGATTTTGTTGAATTGGATCCAGTCGTGCACGCCTTCCTGTCAGACCCTTCCAACACGGCCATTACACGCAAGACAAATGGTCAAGCGCGCGCTCCAAAACATATGGGCCAAATCTGCAGTTGGTGTAGACCAGGCTAGCTCCATTGACTTCAACTGGACTATATCGATTTGCACCAGCAGTGGGCCTGGCCCGGTGTGTGTGTTATTAAAAACGGCTTAAAACTCTGCCCAAGGAGTCTTACAACAAGCTCCTCATGCTAACGGGCCCATTCGAACCTCTCCCCTTTCAAAGAAACAGATGTTCTCTCTGGACCCCAAAAGAAACACAAGAATGTGTCACTGCTCTAGGAAACAGGTGCTTCTTTGCTTCACAGGATCATTCACTCTCCTCTGTGGCCATTCCCAAGAGTGTTTTTGCCTTAAAAAAACACTCTTGGGAGAGCCTCAAATAGCTGAACGCTCCGCGTTGGAGCTGTGCGCAGATGGACATGAGAAAGGCTGGGCGGCTGGTGACCCCAGTGCTTGGGAAGCCACGGAAAATGTGTACAAAAGGGGAAAGCATCTAGCTTTGCCACCCTACTCTGAGTGGAGAGCTCAAGTGTTTGTGCTTCAGCTGTTATTTCTGCAAAAGGCCTCTCACTCACCTTTCCTTTCACTGCAGCCTCAGAAACCTGCTTTAGCAACCTTCACTGCACAACAGAACCACAGCGCTGGCCAGGTTTCTCAGAGACTGTCTGGGAACATGGGAGCATTCAGTGGGGACTGAAAGCCAGCCAGGAGGCAGGAGATGTTTGCAGAGACTTTCCTTGAAGGGGCACTCGCACTCCATGGAGAATGGCTCTCTCTAGAGAGAATCCTGTTTCTCCTCCCTCATTCCTTCTTACCTAGGGATATTTGCATGGAAACAGCCTCTCTGGGGGGCTGGCTGGCTAAGGGCAACAATGTCTGTGGAATACAGAACACTTCACCTCCCGGTCACTGTTTGAGATCCCACCCGATTTACCCTCCAGTGGCTGGGCAGTAGATTATATGGCTCACAGAGAGCATGTAAAAACCACCTCCACCGTCAGCACTAACCTGCGCCCTGGGTGGCAGCCTCCACAGAAAGGCAAAGCGCTGAATGAGCCAGAGAGACCGAACTCCCCTTCCACACTTATCCTTTGTCTGCACTACAACGGTTTGTTCCCATTTCTAGCACATAACACAGTGTAAAAGCCCCAGTACAAAGGGAGCGTTCAGGTACTTCTACCTGCTCAGAGCAGGTTTTCATGCCCATCACTGCTAGAGAATGGCGAGTGAAGACACCCTTCGAAATGATTCCTGCGACACAGGCGTGTGGCACAGTGGGGTGTGCAGAGGAAGTTTGCACAGCTCCTATCTGGGCTGCACCTGTGCAGTGCTGTTGAATAAATAGAGGCGTGCAGGCCCCAGAGCACTCAGTGTGGCATCTTTCACAAGCGGGAAATGGATGCACCCTTTTTTCTTTAAAAACAAGCACCCTAAGAGAGAAGACGTGCTTTGATTCTCATGCGTTCCCCTGTGCCCACGATTTCTGCCTCACCTGGGATCATAAACCCCTTGCTGTTTGCTGCATCCCAACTGGGTTCTTGTGCTGCTGCCACAAACACAAGATCCTGATCTCAGGTGGGAAACCGAGGGCAGGGCAGACGGACTGGTCAGAAAAGCAAAGATCCTGTATTCATTCAAATGTCTCCAGGAACAAAATGAAACAGGAAGTACAGATGCCTCCAAACTAAGGACAGACAAAAATGATGGAGCCTGAAATTTTCGCAGCTATTTAGACTGTTTCTTGGATTCCCAAAGCAGTCTGAGTTCGTGAATCGTTTTAGCTGGAGTTTAACACACGCTCCAACCCCATTCCCCTGCTCTCACTCTCTTTCACATACACACGGCACCTTAAAAAACTCAGTTCTGTGAGCAAAGGATCAAAGCTAGGTTGCTATAAGGAGATGCCCTATGTGCCATATTATTTTTCACTCTAATTTCTCTCCACCTCTCTGTGCCTTTCCTCACAGTATCTATTAAGTGGGGGCAATAGTGTGTAAACCTCCCAACCCATGGAGTAGGGTCAGAATTAGGCAAAGTGAGTTCATCCCTCTCCATTCTAAACAGAAACATCTTTAGTGTGGCCTCAGCTACTCCTTTATTCTCCAGAGTTAGTGCAGAAAGAGCCCGCTCTACCGGGATCTGGTTACTAATTCTGTACTCTACGGAGAAGTATTCCTGACAGATCAAGGTTTCCGCCCACCTTCTCACTGAAGCTCCTCCCCCACGCGCTTACCATCCATTTCAGGATCTGCTTTGAAATTGTTCTTCCTATTTTTAAAACTCTCCCTGGATTTGTTCCAGCCCATATCACAGGCCCTCTCTGCCCCCTCTCCCATCTCAGGCCTAGCACTGGCCTCCTCACCATCCCTTCACATAATCGCACCACGATTGGTGCAAGAGCCTTCTCCACTGGATCTTTGCATCCCTCTTGCCCCTGGCTTGCACCACTCAGTGTTTCTACCTCTCTGTTACACGTTTGATTCTGTGAAACATGCTCAGCAGGGTGAATTTGCATGGGCCGTGTTGTGCTGTCACTCTAGAGGAAAAGCCTGCATGTGAAACCTTTGATTATCTGAAGCTGTACTGTGATCAGCACAAAACACATGTACTCTGTTACTGCCGAGCAGCTTCAGAGACTCTCTTGTCGCTCTATTGCAGGGCACTCAGGTGAGCATTCTGATTTGTCTGGGATATGCTGAGATTGTGTTGTTCACACAGTCCAGACTTCTCAGTCGTTTCCTTTCTTGAGCATCAAGAGAGGCCTATGTCAACATCATACTTGTCCCCAAAATCAATAATTTCAGACTTGCTTTTGTCCTATTGAGTTGAAGGATCTCTTTAGAAGTGTCAGTTCAGATTTTCTGCCCAGTAAATACTAATAACTAAGGAAACGTAAGCTCCAATTTTCACCACAAAAGACAGACAGTCAAGTTGGGATGTCATTTTTCCTCTAGGTGATCCCTGGTGGATAAGCTACTGCAGTTTCATCAAGCAGCTCAGAGGGCGGGGAAAAGGCTGCTTTGAACAACACACAGACAACAAATATCCTGGCTTTGCCTCTGAGCCCCACAAACACACAGAACCACACTCAACCCTGCTGTAAGCAGGGGAGGCGCCTGGAAGTCAGGCGGGTGCAACTCTGTTGCCAACGGGGAACACGGGGCTCTGAGTTCAGTGTCCCTCACCCATTCACTGCACACAGGAGCAGAGTGTGAGTTCTGATTGCCAGCGAAGGCGACCGTGCCCGTTCTGTTACAGGACAGAGTGCTGGTACAAAGCGTCAGATGCTGCGATTTAGCAAAGTCCCTGGGCAGTGCTTAATTTGTAATGAAAGAGGTGCCAAGGCTCAAGCAATTTTTTTATTTTCATAATTGATGCAGCAAGCCCAGAGGTGCCAGGGCTCTGAACTGCCAAGCCTTAGCACAACTTAAGCCCTGCCTCTGGGTAAGCCGGACAGTTGGCTCAGGAACTATTTGTAACTAATACTCCACTCACAGCCAGGGCTAAGGCGCAGATCTGCTTTTGAAATGACACTCAGCGCTGATGCCAGCTCCATGTTTGGGAGTTTGCATTGGCTGCCTGTGCCATTAAACGTTGTGTCCTGCTCTTAACTGTTCAGCCTCCAAAGCCTTCTGCCTCCTTCCTGCTTGGGAAATGATTTCCGTTTGTATTCAGGTATTAGCAGTACTTTATGTTCAACCCCCACTTTGCCCTTAATCCCCATGTGAACGAAGCACGGAGTCCCCCAGCTCTGAACAGGTGAGAGATACCCCGCTAGCCCCAACACTCTCTGCCCAGATCTTTTGATTTGGTGTAAAGTTTAGTCCTTTTTTTTCCATTTTGTTACCCGGTGTTTGTAATGGTTTTTCCTGGCCCTGAGCCCTGCGTGCATTGTGAAGTTCTGCAACATCAGTGGGTAAGTGCCACGTAAAACACATCGTAATACAGAGGAACAATATGGTCTGATTCTGCTATCAGCCACACCAGCACAAATCAAGACTGACATCAGTAGAATGACCCGAATGTCAATCTGGTGAGAGATCCCCTGTGCTACTATGGGTCCTTGTATAAGGAGAAATTCCTGTTACAGTGAATGTGGCAAAAGAAAAACTATATTCTCACTGTTGCATCCTGCCATTTTATCCTGATTCTCACGATACTCCGTGTTTTCCTTAAAGCCTTGCCCCCTGGAATTATGCAAAGATAGGGGAATCTTGGCTTTCATTTAAAATAAACCAAAATACCAAAAACCAGAACATTTTCAAGCCCTTTAGCTTGCAGAGAAAACCTTCAAAGTGTGAACCCTAAATTCTGAAAAACCAGAAGGCAAATCAAAAGAACCCTACATTTATTATTTTTTAAAAAATCTCATGATTTTCAGGGGCCTGACTCATGTTTTTTGAATGGTAGGGGTTGGCTATGCTGTATCCTGGAGACTGGTGAGGGAAAAAAAAAACAATCTAGCCCTGAATGGAGAGTTTACTTGGAATGATGATACTACAGTGGGAACCAAGGGCTGTTTTTAATTCTGAGGTCATTGCTTAATTCCCAGGCACAGCTGTGCCAGACAGTCTCATAACCTAAAATATTGCCCATGAAGATACGGATCCACTGACCCAACCCAAATCGTGTTTAAATAAAAAGAAATGAACAAACTACAATTACAAAACACTGAAGAAAAAAATTCTTTTGCTATAAGCAGCTGTCATAGCTGGCTTTGGGCCTGATCCTGTGTACTGGGTGCCCTGAAGTCCCAGTGATAGCAATGGGAGAAGACGGTGCTCCACACGTCACAGGAACAGGCCCAGTTTAGGGCCCTTGACTATTCACACCACATCTGAACGACTGACGACCCTTCCATTCTCCCCGTGGAGCACACCGAGTTCAGTGACACGAGGCGGCAGACCGGGGCTCTTACCTTCTAGTCTCATTCCCACCGTCAAGCACTTCTGAAAGCGACAGTACGGACATCTCTTCCTCTGGGTTTTGTCGATTTTGCAGTTCTGGCTTTCGGTGCAGGTGTAGTGCTTGTTATTCTGCACGGTCCGCTTGAAAAAGCCCTGATGATAACGAGAGAAGGAAAACATGCAGGGCATTAATACGCCAGCATTTACAGTATGTCCAGGACTAAGCTAGCATCCTGGGGAAGGGAGGATTCTGCACTAGGCTGCTGTTTAACACAGATGATTTGTTCCTTGCCTGGAGAAATTCTTTGCAGACCCACTGTCCTGGGGCAGAGGAACAAGTGGCTTTGGGAGAGTTGGACACTACACATCGATGAAAATAGCATCTTCGGTGACTGAGCTCTGCTGGTGGCTTTTATTTTCTTGGCCCCTATAGTCTCGTTGGGGGAAATTACTTAAAAAACTGCAAGAACAAATTCTCTGATCTGGATTTAACGGCAGTGAGCAGTGCCATGGGGGGAGCATAATGCCAGAAAAGCTAACAGTAACAGACAGGAGCTGCAGAGCCAGAAGTCATGTATTTTTGTTCAAGTTTTTAAAAGACAAAAGGTTGCAGGCCTGGCTTCTCTCCCCCAATGTCTGAACTCCCTTGCCCTGAGAAGGTGTCTCTTCTCAGTCAGACATGAGCTGAACTCCAGGAATCTGACTGCAAGACCACGGGAAACGTTTGATGTTTTTCATCTGCTTAGGACTCTGCTGAAATAGGAGGGGCCTGATGCTCAGCTGGTGTAAAGGAGCGTCCTAGTCAAGGCAATGGAGTGACACCTATTTACAGCAGCCAGTGCTGAATGCTTAGAAATGCCAGGGCTCCAGGGGAAGCCAGTGCGGCCATTGCTTTCCTTTCCTAGATTGCTTTTTAAAACAAATTTGGGGAATTGTGAAGAAGATGAATCCGGCCAGGGGGGAACGTCAGCCTGCCTCTCAATCTTCATTAACAACGTAGGTTAAAAAGGGGCCTGCTCTTTGAATACAAATCTGTGTCTATAGCCTGATTTATGTCTTTAAAGATCTGGACAAACATTCGCCCCAAACCTGGGAGAGGCAGCTCAGCCTTACCACCCCCATTGGCCAGAGAGAGCAATGAAGAGACTGGGATACTTCAGTGGGCCCCTTAGAAAGGCCCCAGAAAGACCCTTGGGAAGCAGACCACAGAGCGGGATACCAGCAGAACCCTGCTCGGGCCAGCACCCACAGGGCCTCTGTCTCTCCAGAATGCCCCCGGGACAGACGCTCATGGGCTGCTGGCTTGCCCCCAGAGGGGAGCCGGAGCTCAGGCAGAAGGAAATGCAGGGCCAAGCTCTGTCTGCACAGGGCCTGTGGGTGCGATGCTCCCCGCAGAGAGCAAGGAGACTGTTCAACATTATTCAACAGCAATTTGAGAGATTCCCTCCCCTCCCCCCCCAACGATTTTAAGGAGTCCGATTTAGCCCCCAGTCTAAAGCCTCTGGAAATAAAGCACAGCCAAGGGCTGGCTGGTGGGGAGGCCGCATTTCAACTCGGAGCTTTTCCGCTTCTGCAATTCCTCCCCAGCCCCAGGCAGGTGGAGGGACTATCGCTGTTCTGTGGTTGGTGCTATGGGAAAGACCCCACTTCCCCCCGCTCCCCCTTAAACCAGAAACTACAGGTAGCAACCGGCCTCCAATTTGCAAAAGATATTTGCCATTGCCTGGGAGACCCTCCCATTCCACCTTCTTCCACCTTCAGGCCGGACACATACAAGCAGCGGATGGGAAATAAAGGGGGGAGGAAAAACCGTTCAGCGGTCGGGGAGCCGCTTTCCCTCCAGAGAGGCCTCGAACAGCGATCACCCCCCCCCCGCCCCGTACTGCGTCCCTCACCCAACATCAGCCCCCGCAGTAACAACAAAACTCTGCCCGATTCGGCTTCGCTTCGCTTTGCTTTCCACCAGTCACTTTGGTATTTGGTTCCGCGATTTTCTCTCTGTCTCCGGCACTGCAGCTGAACTGCGAGGGGATTTGGACAGGATACCCCATAAACCCCATAAACCCGGCGCGCTCTGATCGCCTTAGATGCCCCGCAAGTTACAGCGGGTCTGATGCCGCCTGTCCCCAGCAGCCAGGCAGCCTTGCGGTGGCACCTTTCCCCCGCGGCCAGCACAGAACGATGCCCGATGAACGGACACGGGACAGCGCTCAATTCGATTCCATTTGAGAGCAAACAACATTCCTGGGGCTCGGTATATTTCGTGGTGTAGATTAGTGGTGCAAGCAACGGTGCACACGTCTGACTCCGAAATAAAAACAATCCGCACCTCTGAGCGGGCTAATTATAGGGTTAACCTTTTTAAACTAAAAAAAAAAATCCCTGAACCATTTGATTTAATTTATTTCGATTGCTATAAAATTAATATTTCCTAATATTTCTTCTAAAGAGCTATTTTAAAAACATCTAAAGACCCTGAACATCTATTCTGTTTTGATGAGCCGAAGAGTCAAACGGAAAATAAAACACAGCTGTAATAAGCACTCTACCTCGGCAACTCGCCTGCGCCGTTTAAACTCAATGAACTTGGGGAAATGCAGGTACATAAATCCGGAGCGAAAATGATTCTACCTGCTCCGGAGTTACACTCCGGCCATAAATCTCGGAGTTACTGCACGCTCTCCTGTGGAGGAAACAATTCACCCCACGGACTGCTACAGTTTCGTTTTAACAAATGACATGACACGTAGCTAAACCTGCGCAGAAACATGTCTTATGTGCATACAAAAATAATCTTAATTTGGACTTCGATCTACTTTAACACACTAGCCCGGGGGTCGGACTTTGTTGACTAAAACCCCCTTGGGCCAGCGGGTTGCGTGACTTCCCCTGGCAGTTTAATCGGGGTTTGTCACAGAAACACTAAATCCAGCCGCTCCCCGACGCTTTCAGCAAAGATAATCATTTCAATCCTTCCCCGCGCGCAGGCTGGGCTGGTTTGTAGACCCAGGTACTAGCGATACGATCAGCTCACCCCGGTCATTTCTACTCCAAGAACAGACATTAGTTTAGTTCTTTCATTATCCGTTGTCACATCTCCCCGATGTGCCCTGTACACCCGGCGAGTGTTTCCCGAGTCAGACTGTCCCTCCCGGGTGCAAGGCCGCGGACTCTGCATTTATTAGGATCAAAATGCAAGTTACGTTTGAAAAGTTCAGTTACCCCCAACTCCTGTATTTGCGGAGCGGCTCCAAGAAAAGTGCAGCCCCTTCGCTGACATTCACACGAGCTTCAGACTTTCAAAGTGCAAAGCGTCGCGCTATCAAACCAGCCAAGCGCTTCGCCCAGGAATTGACTCCGGATTTTATGGAAAACGATATTTGTTCCGTCCCGCGCTCCCGGCTAAAACCGAGGTTGGGCACCGGCCGGGGGGATCGGGGCTTTCCACGGCAAATGAACACCCCGCGGCATTGATTCGCCAGGCACATCTGGAGAGTTAAAACCCCCAGCCCGACGGACCTCGCGAGCTCTGCAGCGCGGGGAATTAGAGCACAACGATTTCCCGGCCTTGCGGATCCATCCCTAACTCCTGCCAACGAAACCCTGGAGGGGCCGGGGGGCCCGCCCTGCCCCCGCTCGCCTTTGGCTGGGGCCGGCGGCTAGGGGCCCCTTTCGGGGCGAGCCTCCCCGGCTCGCGGCGGAGCGAGGAGACTGGAGCCAAGCCCGCCTGGAAGGGGCGATCGGACCAATTCCTCCTGGGCCCTTATCGACAGCAGCCAGCGCGTCCTGCCCGGCCCCGCGGGCGGTTTCCTACCTTGCAGCTTTCACAGGTGAGCAGCCCGTAGTGGTACCCGGAGACCTTGTCCCCGCAGACAGGACACAGCTCATCCAGGTCCTCATCATAGGTATAGTCCATCACCTCCAGCGGCCCGCCTGCGGGGAACGAGAGCAGGTCAGCGCGGCAGCCCCTGGGCCGGCCCGGCGGGGAGGCGCGGAGCGGAGCGCGGGGCGCTGCGGAGCGTGACAGGCAGGTGGCGGGTGCTGCGGGCGGACCCTTTATAGCGCCTGAGGCTGCACATCCAGGCTGGTGCGGGGAAGTGACCACCCCCGAGGGGCGGCAAGCCCGCCTGTGGGGGGGCCGCAGCAGCCGCGGGGGGCTGGGAGCAGGGCGGGGGCGGGGGAAGGGACCTGGAGGGCAGGGCCGGAGACTCTGGTGCCACCCTCGGCTTTCCCGCTCTGGGCGCGGGGCTGGGGTGCCAGGGGCCGGGTGCGGGGCTCGGGCTACCCGCCTGCCCTGGGGGTGCTGGGGCCGTGCGCCGTGCCCGGGAGTAGCGAGGGGTCTGGGCTCCAGCTGCGCCCTGCCCCAAGGAACTCACGGGGACAGGCCCGGGGCCGAGAGGGGAACCGCCCGTGCCCAGCTCCGGGCTCGGGGTCCCGCTGGTCGGGCGCACTCGGGGGGGCGGCTGGGGCCGGGGGCTAAGCGGGGGCAGGTCCTGGCTTTGCCCGTCGCTGCTCCAGGGGCCTGGACGCGCCTCGGCTGTGGGGCGCGGGGAGAACCGCGGGCACCTCCGGGCTTGTCACCGCGGGAGCTGCCGCCGGGCAGCGGCCACGGCCCGAGCCCGGCCCACCTCGGCGGCTCCACTTCGCTGCAAACACAGGCGGGAGCTCAGCTCCCCGCGCCGACGGCACCGCCAGCACCGGGCCATGGGCAGAGCGGGCCCGGGCCCTGCAGGGTCCCGCCGCCACCCCTGGGCGAGGGGGTCCGAGGCCCCGGCCCGGCTCTCTGGGGAGCCTGGAGCGGTCCCGGGGCGGCGGGGGACTCGGACCCTGGGCTGTAGCGGCCTGGCAGGCAGAGAGCGCCGGGCAGGGCCGCCCCAGGGCTTGCCCCGCGCCGGGTGACAGGCTCAGCGGTTCCGCGGGGCTCGGACCCATGCCCGGGCGGTGCCCTGCAGGGAGCCGTCCCGTCCCGGCTCCTTGGAGATCATTAGAGCCTCCCCTACCCCGCTCATCCCGCTGCGCCCCCCCCCCCCCGCCGCTCTAGCCCGGCACGGCTCGGAACGGCCCCCGCACAACGCCTGCCAGGGACGGGACCTGAGCAGCGCAGCGCGCCCCACACTGGACCATGGCTCCGGCACCAAGGGGGAGGTGGGCCCCGTCTCCAGGTGCCCAGATCCCGCCGCTCAGCTCCGCGGGCTCAGAAACACCCGGCCCGGCCCCGGGGAGCAGCGCGAGGGGAGCAGGCGCAAATGTCGCGCTAACCCTCATGGCGCGCAGGGGCAGTTTGGGGCCCCGAGAGCCGGGCCGGGCCGTGCTCCCCGCGGGTCAGTCTGAGACTCGCCCGGCACCGGGGGCTCCCTGCTGGCTGGGGAGGAGCCGGCCGGGCTCTGCCCCCCTGGTTCTCCGACTCCCTCCAGCTGCAGGAGCGTTGCAACAGGCGGGTCCTGGCGGCCCAGGTCCGTCCCCGGGCGCGCACAGGCCAGGGGGCTGCATCACACGCGCCCACGGAACCCCCGGCCTAGGCAGCGGCTGCTCCCCGCCCGGTTCCGGCGCCCCGGCCCCGCGGGGTCTGGGATTTCCCTGCCCCAGGCCTGCAGCGTTCACAGGGGGAAGCGCAGGGCTCCGAGGGGCCCCGGGGGGTTCTGTTTGCACCGGCTTCGGGGCGCCTCAGGGACCCACGTAGGAGACCAGCTGCCCGGGAGCCGGTCTCAGCTCCTACCCAGGGCACAGCCCAGGGGCAGAACCACACACCGACCATGGAAACCCGCCCAGGGCCCGACCCAGCTCAGCGGGGAGCGCCCCGAACCGCCGCTCGAGGCCGTGGGCATGTGGGGGGCTCAGCGCCTCCCCCGAGGCGCTCAGCTCCAGGCCGGCTCAGTGGGGCTCCCCACAGCCCCCGGACACGGCGCCCGGCTTTGCTCCCGGAGCTGCCCTGCAGGGTCCGGCCGCCCCCCAAAACCTGCCCCCGCCTCAGCCCCGCGCGCAGCACCCCGCGCACTAACGCGGGCCAGACGCTGCCTTTGCTAACGCCGAAGCAGTGACACCATGGACAGACCCCCGCTCCCTGCCCGCGGCCCTTCATGGAGCCCCTTGACCAGGTCAGAGCCGGCGCTAGGCAATTGCTTAGGGCCCAGAGCTGCTCAAGGGGCCCCCATTCGTTTTTTATTATGTGCTGGGAGTGGGAGGGGGGAATATATCCCTGCTCAGGGCCTCTAATGGGCGATCCCCGCCACTACCCCCCCCCCTCAGTATTTAGCCAAGGGGATGGTGCTGGCCCCGCCCCCAGGGTACTGAGATCTTATGCTACAGTTGACCCCCCTCTCTACATCAGCAGTTTCTCAAACCTTTCCCAGATCAGGGACCAACTTGCTGCCCCCTGAACTGTGCCAGGGAGATCCCAGGGAGCGTGCTGGTTCACAGACCCATCCTTGAGAAACACTGCTCTAAACAGAACAGGAGTACTTGTGGCACCTTACAAATTTATTAGTCTCTAAGGTGCCACAAGTACTCCTGTTCTTTTTGCGGATACAGACTAACACGGCTGCTACTCTGAAAACTGCTCTAAACAACAATACACCCCCCCAAAAAAAACAATTAAAGGCCCCCCAAGCAGTTGAAGCCCCTTAAATAATGAGCTAAGAACCTGGGTTTGAAAGTTGGCTGGAATGGGCCTGTGAGCAAAGGGGATTATTACACTGGGCCCTGTGGCTCTGCGCTCTAAGAAGGATAAAAGAGCTGTCCTCCAAGCGCTGCCAGGAGGCTGCCACCGAGGGAAGATGGCCCTGGTCGGTCCCGGAGACAGGGGAAGGGGAGAGCGCTTCCCCCTCTTCGAACACTTGTCTAGTGCCACGGCCCACTCGCACTCAGCAGGGCCCTGGCAGTCACACGCGGCCCCGAGGCCTCTCCCCTGCTAAACTCCACCTCTACCCTGGGCATGACACAGGCTAAGAGCTTCCCCGACCCTCTTGGGCACCTCCTGCACCGTCAGCCACAGGTGAGGGAAGGCCCCAGTGGTGTGATGGCGGAGATGAAGGCTCAGTTTAGGGCCATGCTGAAGGGGGCAGAATTAAGGTAATATAATATGGAGATATACCTATCTCATAGAACTGGAAGGGGCCACTGAGCTATCCCTCCCCCCCAAGGTGGGGGGTGGGAGGGCAGGGTCTGGCCGTCATTTCCTCAACTTTGTCCCTGCTGGTTTTCAGAGGTTTGTATTTAGCCACCCTCCTCCTTCCGACAGTCAGTGCCAGCCTCAGCCCTGGTAACGGCTACTGGAAAGAAGCCTTTGCACAGGTTTCCTGCGGCTACCTTCAAGGGGGCATGGGTTTAACATCATGGAAAGGCAGGAGGTGCTCATGTTTCTAAGTCTAAACATGGGAAAAGCAGCTGTGAGACAAACCTGCACACCCCCATGGTAGCAGATGTCATCCACAGCCCAGGGCCTAGGAGAACCGGGACAGTCAACGACTATGGGGTGAACTACTGAGCTATCCCTCCTGTAGTTCAATCACTGAAGCTGTAGAGCACCCAGAGGTGACCAGAATTCAGCAGCCTCTTAAAAATCAGCTGGGCCTGTTCTCATTGTAGTTACTGGCTTCTCATTCCCCTGAAGGGCTGTAGAAATCCTTCGAATGATCTATAGCGATGTGATGGTAGGAAAGCTTCACCTCCTTAGCAGAGATGGGCCTTTAGCTGCTGGTTTTATGCTTGCTCGGGCCTAGCCCTTGGAAACCAGGAACGGCTCCATTTCTAGTTACTCAAATCTACAACCTGATAATTGAATCTCAGCTGAAAACTCCAGCACCAGCCTAGCGCTCAATGCAGACTCCTGAGCTCTGTTCTACCGCTGCCGCCCACCTCACTCTGGGACCTTGGGCGGGCAATTTAACCCAACCATAAAATGGTGATGAGAATATCACCCCCTGACTTTACCAGGGACCTGGGATTAGTCCGTCAGTCAGGAATTCCAGGTTGTACCGTGCTTTGAGAGCTGCAGCTGAAAGGTGCTGCTGGAGTGCTAGGTGTGTTAGAACATTTGAATCCTTCACTAGGGAAAATTAATAATGTCGATAACGATAGACACAACTATAGGAGCATTGCACATGCCCCACCTGCAGTAACTAATGCAAACGGTGACGTGATCCCCTTAGCTGATGGCAGTTACTAAATGCTGGGATTTAATTCATTGCTTCACTTAGTTTAGAGACACTTAATGAAACATTGCATGGCAGCGACATCAGAGCACAGCTTACTCCGGAACACACTAATGTGCACCGTACATTTTCTACTGATCAAGTGGGTTTTGTTCTCTTAATGGAAGTTTGATGCTTGCAGGCAGGTATGAACCCCGCACCACAATCACCCGTCATGTTGCATTTGAGAAAACAGGAATCAAGGCTTTACACAGCACATCTGTGAAGGCTCCCAACACACACACTCTCCCACCCCCCCCCCACAATCCCCCTACACAATATCCCACCCCCCACCTATCCCACCCCCCACTACTCACACACACTATCCCACCCCCCCACCTATCCCACCCTCCCACAATCCCCCCCCACCACACACACTCCCACCTCCTTCACATATACACAAGAGGCCTAATAATGTCACAGCTAAACCCCTCTGTAGCAGCCGCACCGTATGTGGTGGCCAGCACTGATGTTACAAAGAGAAGCACATCACAGGGTTCTACAAGTGTCTGCACACTCGGCACGGGCCTGAGCAAACTGCAATTCCCTTCACAAAATCCCAATGCACACCCAGCATTCTGTCTTGCTCCCACGACTGGGGCAGCCCAGGGGAGCTACTTATGTTATCTTCCCACCTGTAGCTTGCTGTGTTACTTCCCCATGGCAGGCACCGTCTGGGCTATGACAGACCAGTGTGACACACACTTAGTCTTCAGTGTGCAGAGCATTAACTAGTGCCACGGGGCCGAATCCAGCCCTGATTTATGCTCCTCAGGAAACCCTCCATATCAACAAGGTTGCACAGCATGGGAATCAGGTGAGACACTGGCCCATTGCAAAAACAATTCCCTGCTACCGTTGCTCCAAAAATTCACCCCTCAAGTGCAGTGCAGTACCCTGCCACCTAGCACCGGACTGAGAAAAGGGATTGCCTTTGGGTAGCATTTCAGTAAGAACCTGGCCCTGACAAACTGATTCTAACTACGTCGAGGAGCAGATCTAAACACACCAGCAGCACGACACGACTCCAGCGGTGGAGAGCATTCAGATACCCCCAAACCAGGCAGAACTCCCCAGTCACCCCGGCCAGGGCCCAATTCTGCTCCATCCAAGTCAATGGGAACACAATCCTCTCAGCCTGTGGAAGCCAATGGAGTGGCAGGGATGTGCGGAAGGGCTGGCTTTGGCCTCAAGGGTACAGGAAGGTTTGCAGAGCTCACAGCCTGAGGCTTGTGCTCCATCTCAGGTGCGCCTCTTCCCTGCCCATAGCTTCCGGAAGGGGGGTCTGGACTGGGTCTGAGTTTCTGGAGCCCACAGTGAAATTGCAGGGGTGTGACTCTCATGGGGACAAAAGCCAATAGCCAGCCCCCTGCAAGCAAAACTCCTGTGGCGCCTCACAACCTTCTGCTGGGGCCCAGCGCACGTGGGGCTCTGCCCCTCTGCTGGATGGCGGGCTCCTCCTAAGGTAGCAGCCGCAGCCTCCCGCCCGCGGCAGGGAGCGGGGCACTGCCCAAGCAGAGGGTTCGCCCTCGGGGTGGAAGCTGCACTCCCGGCCCCGTGGGATGTGCAGCGAACAGGAAATAGACGCCAGCGGGATGGGATCACTTCATTCAAACACACCATTAAAAGAGCCTCGTCTCTAATAATAGCTGCAAATCAGCCTTCAGTGCAGAACAGCCGTGCTTGGGCTATTGTTAGAGGAAGGAAAACTCCCCTTAAAAGCTCAGTAACCCCGTCATGTTCCTCCCAGGGATCTCAGGGAAGTAG